CCCCACCCTCCGGCCGGCGGGGCGGGGAGGGGGCCATTGTTCCTCCCTCCGCCCCCCACTCCCAGCCCGCGCCCCCTGCGCTCGGGTCCCGCACTCGCTCGGGCCGCCGGGAGCCGGGGCGCGGGGTTGCGGGCTGCTGAGGGGGCTGTCACTGGGGCCGCGGGGCGCAGGAGGGATAGGCGGGCTGGTGATGGGGGGCTCCGGACTCCCCAGCTCGCCGCTCCCCTCCAGGACCCTGAGCGGGCAGGGACTTTGAATGAAATCATATCTAAAGCTGGAAAAAAAATCGCTGTATGTTTTGGACCCAGTCCTTTGTGGCCTCGGGAAATCTCCCGGAGACTCGAGTTTTCCCATCTCTGATCAGGAGTCGCACCCGCCTGGCTGACTTGGGTCTAGAGTGTTAGGGAAGCCCAGTGGTCAGAGCGCCAACCGCGTTCATCTTGTCTCTCCCCCAAGTCTTGGTGCATCCCCCTCTTCTGTGGGAGCCCGATCTGCTCATTTGGAGAAGCATCTGGAACACACATCTAATACTTGTGTGACCTCGGGGAACTGAGTGTTGGCTGAGAGCCCGCATGGAAGTTGCCAGGCACAAAGTGCTCAGAGAGGTGCAGCGGCACATGCCCGTAATCCCAGCACTCAGGAGGCTGAGGCAGGAGGATTGCTAAGAGTTTAGGGCCAGCCTGGGCTATCTGGTAAGTCCAACACCAAACTGGGCTACATAGTGAGACCTTGTGTCCAAAACAAACAAACAAACAAATAAATAGTAAGCGCTGGGCAAATGCCTGGCATTGCTTTCCAGCTTGGGGTCTCCCCGTCTGGACCCCTCATCTTAGGCTGGCTCGTAAGGCTCTTCAGCAGCCTGGCACCCAGGCCCTTCAGACTCTGTCAGCTGGGTCCACCACTCTTGATCCCGCTGTTTATTTCCTGTAAAAATACCTGAAGCTCTGAACCTGGAGCCTGCAACTCTGTGGTCTCAGAATTTTAGAACCAAAGTGTTCCGGATGCCAACTCTTCAGGGTGGAGTTTTAGAAACTGACTGTTGATTCCAGCCCTTGTTGGAGCTCAAAAAATAAAACTGGCCAGGCATGGTGGCACAGCCCTGTAATCCGAGCACTCGGGAGGCTGAGGCAGGAGGATCATTGCGAGTTCAAGACCAGCCTGGGCTACAAAGTGAGCTCATGGCCAGCCTGAACTGCATAGTGAGACCCTGTCTCAAAAAAGACCAAAAAGATACAAAAATAAAACTAACATGGCTTTGATTTTAGTCTTCGGGGGGTTGTTTAATCAGTTCCAGTGAATAGGTGTTATTTCCTTTAAAATTTAAAAAATCTACACCATAAACCAAAAGAAAAATAAAAAGCTGACAATTCACAGGGATCCCACTACCTTGCGTGGCAGCTAGGGTTGGTGGGGTGGGGACACGTGGCCCACTTCAGTCCCTCCCCTGTGGTCTATGGCACTGGAAGAGGAGCTGGGGCCTGGCTTTCACACACCCTACGCCTGCGCTGACTGACCGGGCCTGGACCCCCTCCAGCCCCTCTGCCCCGCTGTAGCTTTCCATTCAAGGAGAAATGACAGTGAACGTTGCTGGCCAACCGCAAGGGCCTGGCTCCTATGCTTCCTCCTCCAGAAAGCCTTCCTGGGTTCTTCCTCCCCAGCTCCCTGCCAGAGCCTGCTGGGGGCGGTGGGGGCAGGCTGGAGGCAGCACTGTGACCCCACTTCCCGTGCCCGAACACCGAGCTCAAAGGTGAAGTCCACGCCCGGGACCGAGGCTTGCATCGAGCGCGTTGCCCAAGCCGTTGTATGCTTCCGTCCTGGGCCCCGCCGCGCTGGCAGCCCTCTGGGCACAGGGCACAGTGCCTGCCCTGCCCTCTGCACTGTGCCCAGAACTCAGCTCCAGGCCAGCGCAGGGTGGTACAAGGCCCAGGACATTGTGCTGAGCCTCGGCATCTGCAAGCCCAGCTCTGCCCTGTGGAGTGCCCAGCTGTGAGGCTGTGAGTGGGCACACGGAGCCCCCTGCAGCCCTGCTGAGGAGGAAGTCTGACTCCGTTCATGCAACCAGCAGCCAGTACAGGGCTCACACAGTCCGCACGCAAAATGTCAGTTAGCACCGTGACATTATATGCTTATTTCAAAACCACACTTGCAAAGTTCCCAGTGCCCAGAAGGAAGCAAGCCTGAGATGGGTCTGAGCCGTGCCCATTGTCCCTGATGAAGGTCTTCCTGCTGCCCTCTCCCTGCTCCAGCGCACAACAAAGGCTTAACTACTAGGTGGAGCTAAGTGCCCAATCCCAGCACTGCAATCCCAGTACTCTGGGAGGCTGAGGCAGGAGGATCGAAAGTGTGAGCCCAGCCCAGGCAACTTACTGAGAGCTCAGGTCAAAATTAAAAATAAATAAAGGAGCCGGGCGTGGTAGCGCACGCCTGTACTCCCAGCACTCGGGAGGCTGAGGCAGGAGGATTGTTGCAAGTTCGAGACCAGCCTAAGCTACAAAGTGAGCTCAAGGCGAGCCTGAACTGCATGGTAAGACCCTGTCTCAAAAAAAAATTAAAAAATAAAAAATAAATAAATAAATAAATAAATAAATAAAGGGCTGGGGGTGTAGCTCAGGGAAGAGGCCGCAGGTTCAGGGAGATACCCCAGGGTCCCATCCAGCGGCAGCTGAGTTTGGGGCCTTCAAGAGAAGAAGCTGCTGAGGGTGAACCCAGGCCCTGAGCCTCCTGAGGAGGTCGGGAAAGTGGCCGTGGCCGTGGCCGGGCAGTACAGGCTCTGAGCGCGCGCCCACACCCAGCCCTCCTACCTTCACGTAGTCCCCCGCAGCCTCCAGCTCGCCTGAGGCCCTGCAAGGAAAGAAGACAGGTGAGCGTCCCCAGCCCTGCACAGCCCGAGTCCTCCGCCTCTGCCTACCTGCCCGCGGGGAGCCCGGAGGGCTCATGCTGAAGTGATAGTACTCACTAGAGTCTGCTGGCCTGGCTGTGCAGCCCTGCGCAAGGGCCGCCACCTCTCTGAGCCTGGGTGTTGGTAAATCAGAAGTAAGGCCAGCACCTAATGGAGCCGTCTCCAGGAGTTGTGAATGGCGCATGTGTAACTCGGGTCTGGTTCTGAATCACTGGGACTCCCTGGTCTCCTGGTTTGCTGCTTGTGCTCCGGGGCCCTGACTTCAAGCGCTGGAGGCCCCGTGGGCGCAGCCTTCTCTCCTCGGGCTGGCACCCAGCAGACATAGGATGATTCCCGAGAGATACGTGTATATCCCTCCCCGTGAGGGCCGCCAGGAGCCACGTCCCCCAGCTGCGCCCTAAGCGCCGTCCCTGGCCCTGGCCCCGCTGCACCCACCCCGAGACCCAGACGGCTCCCGCAGAGGTCTGAAGGCATCCCGGCCGCATCGCATCTGTCTCCGGGCATCTTCCCGTCTCTGCTGACGTTGTCGCTGTCATCTTCTGCGGCTGTGGCCAAAACCTTTGCCTGACACCAGCCCCCCAGCCTGGCCAGAAACCTGGGGCTGTGCTTCTGGACGGATCCTGACCGCGGCTCTCCAGGTGACGCCTGCCCGGCCTGGCCACCCACGTAGCCCCAGGAGCACTCAGGAGCCTCCTGGCCAGCGCCCCAGGCCCGCTCCTCTCTGTTGCTTCCCTTCCTCCTCCAGGCAGTACCTAAGGTCACAGTGAAGGCCCTGTGGTGGTGCACACCAGGCACACACATCACTTGCACACCGCTCCCGACCAGGCGGGAAGGGCTCCTGCCTCTGCCCCCCTCTTCTCAATAGGGGTCATGCTGTGTTGCCCAGGCTGGCCTCAAATTCCTGGGCTCAAGGGATTCTCCTGCCTCAGCCTCCCAAGGAGCTCCCAACTACACAGGTACAAGCCGCTATGCCTGGTGAAAATTCTTTTTTGTGTGTGTGCATGTGGAGTTGGGGATGAACGTAGGGTCTCATGCACTCTGGACAAATGTTCTACCACCGAGCTACATATCCAGCCCTCCTATCTCTTGAAGAACAAAATTTATTTTCCCCTTCATGGCCATGTAATTGGCCATCCAAATAAGGGGGTGCCATTCTTAAGCCGGAATACAGGCATAGGCCAGGCCACACGCTCCTTTGCCTGTAAGTCCTGAGAGGGCTGGTGGTTTCTGACCATCTATCTTGCCACCCCTCCACCCTTCTGGCCCAGCTACATCAGTCTCCTTACCTGCTCATTCCTGCCACAGGCCCTTTGCACTTGCTCAGAGTGCCAGGCTTAGACTCTTCCTCTCCAGATCATCCTCTGGCTTGCCCCTCACTCCCTTTTGCTCAGGGCTCTGCTTAAAGTCACCTTCTCTGAGCAGCTTTCCAAGACCACCCACCTAGAACAACTCTCCTCCACACTCTCCCGAGGCCCGCTTCACTCTCCTGGGGTTTCCAACCCCCGCCTGGAATGACTGTTCTGTGTTTATTTAACTGCACAGTATCGGATGCCACCAGCAGGGTGCAGGCTTTGTCTCTGTCACCTCAAGCTACCAGTCCCCAGCAGAGCACCTGGCACATTCCAGGAGCTCAGGAGCTTCAAGGGACGCATGACCTGTCATAGCCTGTCATAGCCACAACCATCGTGTTTGTCAACTTAGACTGCAAAGTGGTGAGGGAAGGCTGGATCTTAGGGAAATATTTGCTCAAATACAAAAGCCTAAACTGGACATAATACCAGCACTCAGGAGGCTGAGGCAGGAGGATCATTGTGAGTTCGAGGCCAGCCTGGGCTACAAAGTGAGCTCAAGTTCAGCCTGAACTGCATAGAGAGACCCTGTCTCAAAAAGACAAAAAAAAAAAAAAAAAAAACCCAAAACACCAGACCAAATCCAAATAAAATCAACAACAAAAAGTAGGAGCTTAATATTTACACAAAATAAAGCTGAGCTAAAAGAAGTAAATATTAGGGCTGGGGATATAGCTCAGCGGCACAAGCACCTGCCTGGCAAGTACAAGGTCCTGAGTTCGATTCCTGGTACAAAAAAAGAAAAAAGAGAAAGCAAAAGAAACATGGGCTGGGGATATAGCTCAGTGGCACAAGCGCGTGCCTGGCAAGCACGAGGTCCTGAGTTCCATTTCCAGTACCAAAAAAAAAAAGAAAGAGAATAAAAATAAATATTATAGGAACCCCAGCTCCTGAGATGTCGGTCTTGACATTCTGGGGTTCCTTGCTGCTGACAGGCCTCCAGGAAGTCCTTCCTGACCTCTAGAGACTGTCCCTCAAGCTGCCCCCTGCAGCAGTAGCTTCCTAAGCCTTGGATCCATCTGTCTGTCCGGAGGCTGCAGGGTGAGGGGCAGAGGGGCTCCCCTCCCTTCCCGGGTGAGGTGTCCCATCCCAGCCTTTCCGGCCATTCAGGCCCGGAAATCCGCCCTCTGCTGGGAACAGAGGAGCCAGGACACGGGGATGGCCTGCGCTTCCTCCAGCTTCCTGTCCCCTTCCCCTTGGGCCTGGGGTGGGCGCGGCACCCTGGCAGTGGGGTGCCTGCCTCAGAGACCCGCCTGGGTGACATGGCCAGAGCCAGTAGGGCCGTGAAGACAGCGGCCTTGGCAGGAAACTGAGGACACAGCAGCCCTCCCCGCCCCGCCCCTCCCGAGCACGATGACGTTTCTGAGATGTATGTGACCTTGGCCGCTTACATGGCTGCCATGGCTTGCCTGGACTGTGGCCACCAGCCCCGCCTCCACCCATCCCATGGCCCCACGCCCCCCTCTCCAGTGGTCATGGCAGTCCTTTTAAAGGGAAGTCAGTCACAGCTGGCCTCTGCTACCCTAACCCTAACCCTAACCCTAACCCTAACCCTACCACCCCAGGTGTGGCCCCATGTCGCACCAAGTGAGAGCCCTGGGTCCTCTCGCAGCCGCTTCTTACCACCTATGCCAGATCAAGTCCCTTACCCAGAAGCATCTTATTGACCTCTGTCCCCCAGCACCAGAGATCCCAAGGCCTTTGCACCTTCTGTCACCTCTGCTGAAGCCCTTTCTTTCCAGAGGTCCCCAGGGCTCCCTCCCTGTTTCCTTAGGTCCTCCCTGGAAGCCCTTCTTCTGTGGAGCCCTGCTCTGGCCACCGTCTGAAGCGTGACCTTCTCCACAGTGCTGAGACTACAGGCGGGGGGCCCCCACACCTGGCTTCAGCCCCACTATTCTTCAGGTGAATGAATATCTGAGCAGCCCCTGCTTCCCCCAGGACAAAGTCCAGTCCTCTTGTTTTGGTCCACCTCTTTCCTTCTGGCCTCACATCACCGTCTCTGGAAACTTTCAACTTCCTCCATGAGTGCCACTCCCTGTGGCCTCAGGGCCTTTGCACACGACATTCCCTCTGGCGTCCTACCTTCTCCCCTTCCCCAGGCCATTCCTATTCAACCTTCAGCTCTTGCATTGCTTGATTTCCAGAACAGGCTCCCCTCCATCAAACCCAGGACTCTAAGCACCCGTTTGTAAAAACCTTAGCTCCATTAATTAATTAATTTCTTACTTTATAGTTTTAGGACATTTTCCCTCGAATATTCATGGTGAAATCAATTAATAAGTAATAGTGACAACAGAGCCAAACCAGGCCCATTCATCAACCACATTAATTATTTAAATAATCAACCCCTCTCATTGCCTGAATGAACTGATTTGCTCCGATAACTGATACCACTTACTGCATACATTGCCTTAATTAATCGCATTAATGAGGAGTAATTAAAGCCCATTATCCTTTATTTCCCCAGCGCTGTTTAAATCTGAACTGCACCTTCAGGAGTGCTGGCAGTGTCGCCCTGTGTCGCCCTGCCTGTCTGGCGGTTGCCCTCTGCGGAGCCCCGTCTGCCCTGTCTGTCCCCAGTTCTATCTTCCAGGGCTCAGGGCCTGGTCACCTGGCCCCAGCCCCTGTCACCTGCTTCTCTACCTGCACGAGCCCCCTGCCTCCTCTTGAGAGGCCCCACTTCCTCACCTGAGGACTGGGTACACCCAGCCACGGGGACCCCCACGCCATGCTCCTGGGCTGGCGTCGACCTGCTCCAACCTCCACTGCCCTGCCAGAGAAGGGACAGGCCTTGGGCAGAAGGCTGGGAAGCCCTGTCCCTCCTCCCCCAACCAGCGGACTTCAGCCCTGGAGCTGTGGGTGGGATTTCCCTTCCCCCATGCTCCTGGCTTTAGCGCCTGCCCTGCACACCGCTCAAAGATATTCCAACAGGGGGCCCGGAGAGTCCCTGCTCCTTCCCTACCTGGCTGGTGGAAAGCCTGGGGGCAGGGTACTCGGTGCCACTGTCCCAAGGGACAGCTGAGGGTGCTGAGCCCTGGGCTGTTAATGACACTTAAAACCCACTGCACGCTGGACTTGGTAGACCATTCCTGTAATCCCAGCACTCAGGAGGCTGAGGCAGGAGGAGCTCTGCAACTCCAAGGCTAGCCTGGGCTACAGAGTAAGACCCTGCCCCAAAAAACTAAAACAAAAACAAAACAAAAACCAGTGCAGAAGAGCAAAGGGGCAGGCACTTTTTCCTTTCTTTCTTTTTTTTTTTTTTTTAAGACAAGGTCTCGCCATGTAGTTCAGATTGGCCTTGAATTTGTGATTGTCCCGTCTCAGCCTCCCAAGTGCTGGATTACAGGCGTAAGCCAGGGCAGGCAACTGTTGAGTGCCGACTGCATGCCTGTGACCTGGAAGCCCCACTTTACCGCACAGAGGACTGAGGCTCGGAGCTTGACCCAGGGGGCACAGCTGTTCCAGGCGAATGGCTTGGCCTGAGCTCAGGTTCTACGCTCTGTTCCTCAGCTGGGTGGGCTCCCCTGGAAATTGGGAGCAGCTGCTGGGTGGAAACAGGAGAAACTGGGGAGCAGAGGGTGAAAAAAATAGTATTTCAACCAGGAAGGCTGGGCACAGCGGTGCACACCTGTAATCCCTGCACTCAGGAGGCTGAAGCAGGAGGATTGCCAAAAGTTCAAGGCCAATCTGGGCCACATAGTGACTTCAAGGCCCGCCTGAACTACACAGCGAGACCCTATCTCAAAAACACAAAAAACAAAAACTAGGCAGGAACCCAGATCCAAGGCCAGGAAGGGGAATGGGGTGATAGAGAAAAGACCCTCTAGGGCCATGAGGGCCCCCAGCAAGGAGGTGGGAAGCCATGACCAGGCAAGCCCCCTCCCCTGGCCTCCGTTTCCTCTGCACAAGCAGCTCTGTCCGTTCCTGGCCCTTCCCGGGTCCAGGCCCAGGGGAAAACCTGTACCTGCCATCTGTCCGGTGAAGAAGGTGCCATCTGTCTCCTCAGTGTACAAATGAGGAGACTGAGGCTCAGACAGGGGAAGGGCTCCCTCCTTGGGTGAACGAGCTGCTGAGGGTGTGACCCCTGAGCCCCACGCCTCCGGCCTCCCGGTGGACAGCCCGCTGACAGGGCCCCTGAGGGTTGGGAGGGGCACGTGGTGGGGTGGAGGTGGGGGGTGGCCCATCCTTCCCCAGGCAGCCGGGTTCCCACAGTCCAAGGCGTCTGGGGTCTCGGGACTGTGAGAAAGTCTTCACAGGAAATGAGACGCAGGAGCAGCTGGGCCCCTTCAAATGACAAGGACGGGCCTCGCAAGCCCAAGGAGGCTGCAGGGCCCGGGCCCAGCACCCCCTCCCCGGTGGGTAATCGCTACCAGATGCCCGGCCGCTGACGTCACCTGCAGGCCAAGAGAGGGTCGTGGGACTGGGGGAGAGCTGGGAATGCTTGGACCGGAATCAACATTCCTAAAGGAAATGGGGGGGGGCGTGGCCGCTTCTCGGTGCCTGGCACCAGGGCCAGGCAGGGGAACACAGGGTGCCCCAGCTCTGCTCCAAACAGCTCCCCTGGGACTGGGGGCCCGAGTGGTCAGGTGGGAGGCAAAGGACGTTAGGGCGGTGCCAGAACAAAGAAGCAGAACGGTTTTCAGACCCTCCTGAGAGAGCCTCGGGAAACACCTCAGAGTGGGACCCTCCAGCAGAGGCCAGCTGTGGCTCCCATGTCACTAAGCCGAGGCCAAGTCCTTGCTGGTCTATCTAAAGCCATTTTCTCTCTAACTTCTCTCTCCTTTCCCTATCCTCCCCATCCTGCTCTGCTCTAGTTATTCTGGGCCCTGCTCTTTGTTCCTCAAACATGCAGAGAACTTTCCTACCTCAGGACCCTTGCACGTGCTCTTCCCAAACCTTGACATGTGCTTCCTTAGACAAGAAGAGGCGTTGTCCCTCATTCTTTTGTTCAAACATCACTTCCTCACAGAGACTTTTCCTGACTAATCTTCCTAAATTGTCACTACCAGCCATTTCCCCCAAGACCAATTCCCTCACTTGATTTTACATTTTCTTAGTGGTTCTTTTTTCTTCTAGTTGTGCATATAACTCATCTCTCTGCTTTACCATCTCTCTTCCCTGAACTGGGGCTCCAGGGTGAGGGTCTGCCATGCTCCGTGCTGTCTCCCCAGAGGCTAGTGGCATGGGTGAACCTCGGTAAATATAAACATGAGGGAAATGCCATAGCCACTAACTGAGATTCCAGCATGCTATCTGTTTTGGTTTCTTTGCCTTGTTTATTTGTTTTTGAGACAGGGTCCTGCTGTGTAGTCCAGGCTGGCTGGCCTTGAACTCACAGCAATCCTCCTGCCACTGCCTCCTGAGTGCCACCACACCCAGCCACATCTTGTTATTAACCTCTTCCATGTCAGCACCTGTAAAATGGGCTCCTGTCAGCTCCTTCCCAGAGTGTTGTGGAAAGTCACTTACAATAATGGTAGACCAAGCTTTGACGGAAAGATGACCTGTAGCTTAAGACCTTGGCCTTGGGTGTCGGTCAGGCCTGGGACAAATCTAGGGCCGGTGCTTAATCTGTGACCCCGGGGGGTGGTGCTTTCTCTCTGTAAGCCTCAGCCCTCGCTGACAAAATGGAGCAACAGAGGTGCCCACTCTCCAGGCGCCATCATGGCTGTGTCACTCCCCGTCAGCCCCATTAGGGCCCTCCCTGGGGACCCTGGCTTGACAAGTGCTGTGCGGGTGGGGCGGGCTGTGTCAGGGGCTCTGTCCAGCTCCAGGGCTCCCCTCCTCCTCTGTGCTAAGGGCTGAGGGGGCTCCAAGGCTCTCCCCGCAGGAGCCCTGGGTCCTCGGGAGCTCGGAGCCTGGGAGCGGGTGGACGGCCCCCTCCCTCCTTCCTGCTCTCTGAGGATCTCAGCACGAACAGCACACCAGGAAACTCCTGCAGCCTCACCTCTTCCCCTTCCTTCCTCCTGCTCCAGGTGCACCCTGCCTCCCAGGGGCTGGGGACAGAGCCCCTGCGCGCCAGGACCTGGTCAGTGGGGCCCATGCTGTCCTCTGGCAATTCCCACCCTCCCCAGGCCCTCACAGGCCCTTGTGGGCTACTGGGGAGCAGATGACGGGTGTGGGGAGGGCCAGAGTGGTCACAAGGAAAAGGGGCTCCCTGGGTGCCCGGCCCTGGACCAAGGTTTCCCGTGGGATGCTGGATCTCAGGGCACCAGGACAGTGTTAGTCTGGCTGGCTCCCCAGAACCTCTGGACACTCAGGTGATGGTGGGGGCAGGGGGTGTCTGCCTACTCCCTCCGACAGCTCCGGGCCAAGCCTGACGCAGAAGGCACTGCCAGGACCAGCAGGCTTCTGCCTACAGGGAGAAAAGCTGAGGTGGGTCTTGACTTGGTGTTCTGAAGGCGCCCCAGACCTTCGCTCACAGGCCCCGGCCCCGCTGGAGGGGCGCGTCTGCCGAAGTGTCAGCACACGGTCCTCCTGCGCCTTCTACTTGCAGCGTCAGATTCGCAAGCAAACCTTTCCTCCCTCATCCACAAAATGGGGGTGCTAAGAATCCCTCTCTCCTGGGACTGTCCTGAGGTGCTGATGAGCAGATGCCTGGCCCGAGCAGAGGCAGGGCTGGGGACAGAATTACAACCCACGAAAGCTGATTTAGAAAAGTTCAGTCGGCCAGGCATGGCGGCTGGCACATGCCTGTAATTTCAGCACTCTAGGAAGCTGAGGCAAAAATCCCACCTGCGCAATTTAGTGAGACCCCGTCTCAAAATGAGTAAGTTAAATAAGGGCTAAAGACACAGCTCAGTGGAAAGGCTTTAGGTTCAATTTTCAGTAGCGCGCGCGCGCGCACGCACACACACACACACACACACACACACACACACACACAGTCCCAGATGCCAGACCGACACCCAGGTTTGTCCGTCGCTCCAAGGGTGCAGGACTCCCCCTTAGGCCATTCGTGCCCTACGCTGGCCCTGCCCGGGCCCACCTCGGCCACTCACCTTCGCAGCCCCAGTGTGGGGCACCTTCTGCCCACTGCGGTCATGGTTCCCAGCGGTGACCGCCAGCAGCAGCCTTGCGCACCTCCTCAGCTCGGCGGCTGCCGCCCTTGTCAGACCGCGAAACTGGAGCTCAAAGCAGGACTCCAGGGGCGGGGCTTGACCTATGGGCCACGCCCCGGCCACGCCCCTCCGATTTGTGCCACGCCTCGAATGGAAAGACCTGCTCCTGCGCACCCTCTCTCGCTCCGCCCCTTTCTCGTCGGTTTAAGGCCGGGGAGGCCACGCCCCAGATCACGCTCCTCCCACTCCTCACCCCGCCCCTCGCCCCGCTCGCTTTCCCTGTGGTTCGCCGAGTCGAGGAAAGGCCACGCCCCTAAGCAGCCCTCCTTCCCGCCCCTCTCCTGCGAAGCAGTCAGCGTCCCTGGGCCGAGCAGCCAGGCTCCCAGGCTCCGAGGCTCCCAGGCTTGGGAAACCTCAGAACTCCCCAGGACCTATCGGGCCCTCTTCGCTGATGCAATCTCCGCTCCTCCACGCCTGAATAAGGCTGAATTAAGGGAGCGGGTGGCAGGAGAAGGGTCCTAGGGCAGCCAGGGAGGTGCAGCCCGGCTGGACAGGCGACCTCCCCTCGCTGCGGTTCATTCAGTGTGGCAGCTGTCGTTTGGAAACGGTAGCAGCCTCTCCTTGCTAGTTTTCTCTGAGGATGTTACGGCTCAGGGTCAGCACAGTGCCTGGCTGCCCTAAGTACTTGGTTAATGTGCAGATTTTTTCTTTTTTGGCCCGGATGTTGCTGGAGACACCATCCCCGAAGGTCCTGCCCTCCCCACCCCTGGGGAACACCTACCCTTCTGGGCCGGCGTCCTGAGGAACTCCGCCCGCCTCCGTGTCTGCTGTGGGATCCTCGGGCTTTCTCAAGGTGTCCACCTCCATCCTGGAAGGGCCAGGTTCCTCTGCCGCCGTGTCCTCCGGGGGGCCACCAGCCTCCACCTCCTCCTCGGCTGCCTCCAAGCCCGGTGGGTCGGGCAGACCTCGTGGGACCAGATGGGGCTCCTGTGCCACCTCTTGGGCCTGCTGGGTGGCCTGTTTGTCCCGAGCCTTCTTGAGGTTGGGTCGAGGCATGGTGCCCATGTGACTGTACATGTCACTGGAACGGGCATAGGCTGCAGGGCTCTTGGGAACTGTCACCATGTCATCCTGTGTGGCTTCGAAGGTGTCAGGCTCCAGAGGGGCCCTGATACTGCTGGGGGCTGAAGACCGTCTCAGAGTGAAGGACCGGGGGAGGTTGGAGAGACTCCCAAGGCCCTTGAACTTGAAGAACTCTGGAAAGCATGAAAGGAAGGAAAAGTAGTCATTGATGGCCTCGGCAGCGGTGATAATAACAGTACAAACTACAATGCAGCCTAAATCCCAGCACCCAGGAGGACGACGCAGGACGGTCCCTATGAGTCTGAGCCCAGCCTAAGTTTCACAGTGAGTTCACCAAGCAAACAAATCGCTGGGCGTGGTGGCACACACCTGGAATCCCAGCACTTAGGAGGCTGAGGCAGGAGGATCATTGTGAGTTTGAGACCAGCCTGGGCTACAAAGTGAGCTCAACGCCAGCCTGAACTGCATAGGGAGACCCTGTCTCAAAAAAGACAGGAAAAAAAGAAAAGAAAAACAACCACTGACATGAACTGCGGGGCAGGAGGGATGTCCACACTGGCCTCTCTGTGGAGGGCTGGGGAAAGGAGCAGGAAGTGGTCACAGCCCAAGGGCCGCTCCTAGCTCCTCTGGGTCCTCTCCTTCCTGTGCCCCATTCCTAGCTCACTAGCTCAGCTGCAGTGCTCAGGTGATACCATCTTCTCTGCACTTCCGCAGGGGTACGGAAGCTGTGACATCACTCCTTCCTGCCTGAGCGTGGGACTGTCCCCGCTCAGGCCACCACATCTAACTTCCCTATGGCCTCCAGATGAGTGAAAAGGAAAAACTCTGGCAGTTTCCACTTTCTGGGCGTCCTCTGCCTCCTCTGTCCTCACACCCACGCTGGAATGTAGGTATGACGCTCCCTATGACAAGGGTGGAAACTGAGGCCCAGAGAAGGAGAGGGGCTTGCCCGTGTCACACAGCGAGCCCTGGCTGAGACCGGATGAAGGCCCATGGCTGGGGACTGTGGGTCCCTGCAACTTCGTTCCCAGCCCTGCCTGTCTTGGCCCCGTACTGCCTGCCGGCGCTCTGCTCTCAGACGGCTCTGCGTGGAACAGAGACTGCACCAGGGTGCAAAAGAGGCCACTGACTGCACATCTTCCCAGCAGCTTGGGCTCTGTCTCCTGGGCACCGAGGGTCCAGGGGGGACGGCAGTGGGAGCAGGGAGCGCAGTTGAGGCCCCAAGTCCAGAGATGGGATGAGACCTACTCCTTAGTCCGCGAGGTCCCGGACAAGCTCGGCCTCAGGGTTTCCACTAGAGGAATGCAGCACACACACCCGTGCGCACACACACCCCGGTGCTGTCAGATCGGAGCAGGGGACAGCAGTGTGCCGGGGCCAGCGGCGCCCAGCTGGGGAAGCAACACAGCAGTGGGTGGCGGTGCCTTGCCCTGGAGCTTCTTGAGGACCCCCAGCCTCGATGCTGGTGGGAATGGGGGGCAGCACCCTAGGGTACCACCCTCTGCCCCTGCGCTGGCTCTAGTAACTCCCAAGCTCCGGCGTGCGCCTAGGTCTGGGGCGTGAAACGGTCTCCTCCGCCCAGTTTCGAGATCAGAAGAGCAGAGATGCTGCAGAGCAGAGCGGCTGAGATGCAGCGGGCACAGAGACAGACGCAGAGATAGAGACAGAGAGGAGCGACCTGGGCCGGGGTGTGACAGATGTGGCCATGTCAAGACGCTGGGGACACGCAGCGATGGACAGAAAGAGAAACAGAAAGGAGACGGCGGTCAGAACCAGATGCAGGGAGAGCCGAGCGGACAGACAGAGGGACAGGGACAGCCGCACTCACTGAACTTTCTGCTGGACTTCTTGGGCCCCTCCGTCATCTTGACGAGCGGTGTGAAGCCCCGGGGCAGCTGGACATCGGGGTTGCGATGCCTCCCCCACCCGTTCCCCTTCTCTCGCCCTCACTGGCTTCCTCTGTGTATTTTTAAACCAGCGAAACTCCCACAGCCCCACCCCCACCCTCTCCGCAGGGGGCGGGGGCTGGGGCCTCCCTGTCCGCCCCTGAGGGCCGCCTTCTTGGCCTCAGCCGCAGGGGCAGGGGGCACAGCACAAGCCCGCGGGACCCGGGAGGGCTGGGGAACAGACCGCAGCCTCTGGGATCGGTGCCTGCTGGGCCGGGGCCACGGGGGCCCTGGCAGCTGCCGCTGAGGGTCTGGCCCCCGAGAGCACAGGCCGATGTGCGGGACACTTCATCCCGAGCTTTGGTGCCCGGGAAATGGACTGGCAGCTGTGGTGAGCAGAGTGCCGTGAGCAGGCCCAGGGCTCCGGGCCACCGGGCCCAAGTTCAGCGCTTGGCAGGCCACTTAGGCACAATGTGATCTTGGACTAGAAACACCTCCTAAGCCTCAGTTTGCCCTGTGTTCAGTCCACCAATCAGAGCCTGGCCCGCAGTCCATGCCTGCTGAGGCATGGCTGCTCCTTTCCAAGCTAGCAGATACCCCCGGACTTGTTCTACCACACCTATGAGCCAGAGATGGGGAAGACTGAGGCACAGAGCAGCAGAGGGCTTTCCTAGGGTGCACAGCGAGTCAGTGACACAGACTGGGTAACAGCTCGCCTTTCCAAACTGGCTACGGTGGCGCACGCCTGTAATCTCAGCACTAGGGAAGCTGAGGCAGGAGGATCGTTGTAAGTTCAAGGTCAGCCTGGGCTACATAATAAGTTTGTGTTCTTTGCAAGTTCAAAACCAGCCTGGGCTACAAAGTGAGCTCAGGGCCAGCCTGAACTGCATAGCGAGAGCCTGTCTCCAAAAGACAAAATAATAATAATAATAATAATAATAATAATAATAATAATGAGTTTGTGGGCAGTCTGAAGGACACAGCAAGACCCTGTTTCAAAAAACAAAACAAAAAATCTCACCTTTTCAGATCCCCTAACCTACGAGCTGGTGTTCTTCCACTTTACAACTTCCTTGTGTTTGCTTTGTGTGTGGGCGTGTGTGTGTGTGTGTGTGTGTGTGTGTGTGTGTGCAGAACCGAGATGAGGAAATGTGACCTCCTGTCATACACTGGCTGTCTCAGACCCTGTAGAAGCCACAAGATGTAGGGGTTTCAAACCCAGGTGTATGCTGCTGACACGTTATAATCTCCACTTTGAAGCTTCAGTCGCCAAATTTCTACAGTGGGAACATGGCAAAGTGTACTGTCAATTTGTAGGTGGTTGGCGTGTGTGTGTGTGTGTGTGTGTGTGTGTGTGTGTGTGTGTGTGTACCAGCGCTTCACGCAGGCACTACCACAGAGCCACACCCCTGGGCCCAGGCTTGACAACTTTTATCCTGGCCCCTGTGCTGGAAACCAGGGTGTGAGAGAGGGGCTCATGTTCACATGGCTCCTTCCTGTACCCTCCATGTTAATAATGGCCCCGGTCTCGCCAGAGGGAACAGGAAGTTGCTTGTCCGGCTGCAGTCTGAGGTGCTGACTTCCATGCAGGTGACCTCCTCAGGCCTGCTGGCTGGATGTGGTCCTCGTGGGCAGGGGCTCAGATGAACCGTTGTACTTTTTTGTTTTTGTCATCCTGGGGATTGAACCCATGGCCTTTTCACTGAGTCACATCCTCCCCAGCCCCTTTCTAACATTTGAGATAAATTCCTGCTAAATTGTAAGCTGTCCAGGCTGGCTTGAACTTGCTGTCCTCTTGCCTTGGCCTCCTGGAATGCTGGGCTTGTAGGTATGGTCTGCCACGTCTGGCTCCAGCTGAGTCTTCCGATAGAGTGAAGAGGACCCCAGGGCCCTTTGGGGATGGGACACAACCCTGAGGTAATGGCAGCAGAATTCTGCTCACAGACAGGCCCAGATGGACCCGGCCTCCAAGTCTGAGTAAAAGGGTAAGGTTTCTGGGCCATGGACTTAGAGGCAAGGGGCCTCAATCCCAACCCTCCTGCTGAGCTGGAAGCCCCCATAGACCATCACTTAGATCCACAAAGCAGACCCATTAGGCAAATCCTGGTATTTGTCCCCATTTCACAGATGAGGAAACTGAGGCCAAAGAAGAGCATGTACAGGCAGACTACCAGGCATCGAAACCCACTGGGCTTCTGTGCTGAGTTGTCAGGAAACAAAGAGGATCTGGTAGCCTGGTGGAAGCTAGGGGTCTTCCTCATGCAGGGCTGCAGGTGAGTCCCAGCTTCTCTCCCAGAAGACAGTTTCAGTGTGACTTGGGCTAACTTCTCCTGGCTGTGGCATCAGCCAGTACTGGCTTGCTGGCCAGGCCAATTTCCAACTTGCTGCGTGTCATGCATAAGAGACTTTGCCTCTGTGGGCCTCAGTTTGCTTCTCTGTGAAATGGGGTCTCAGCAGCCCTTGGGAGACCTCCTAGCCAGCACCTGGGGGTCTCTTGGGGATGAGATGGGGTGCACAGAAAGGAGGCTCGCTGATCGAGGCTAGGCGAACCCAGCGGGGCAGGCACGGCGCGGGAGCCGGGGAGGCCGGGCCACCAGAGCTGCATTGCTGGGGCAGAGACGCCTTGTCAGCCAGCACTAGGCTCGGCCTGCTGTTGGCGGGCGCCAGGGCAGTTGCTGTCATCCTCGGGAGAATGAATGGGGCTCAGTGTGCTGAGCTCAGAGCCCCCTTTGTGCTGCCTTGAGTGGCCGTTGGGAGTGTGGCCGGAGAGCTGCTGGCAGTGGCCCTGCCACAGGCCCTACCCAGCCTGCTCTGGAGGCCAGCCCAGCACACCGCGTGCCGCAGCCCCGAGCGCTGAGCGCAGTGCACTGGTCCCTCCAGGCCTCTGCCTGCCCTGGACCTGCACCGGGCTCGGGCTTTGTCCCGCGGCTCAGTCTGCGCCCTGCAAGTCCTCCCGCTGGAAGCTGGAGCTAAGGGCCGCAGGACCCCCGCTCTGCTCTCTCTCCCCAACCCTGCCCTAGCCCCTTCTCCGGTCCATGACTCAAGCAGGGACAGCGTGGGGACTTGGGAAGCTGGAGGAGAGGACAGACTGAGGATCAGGGCCTCAAACTTCATAGTCAAAAGTATCAATCCAGGGCTGGGGATATAGCTCAGTGGCATGAGCACCTGCCTGGCAAGCGCAAGATCGTGAGTTTGATCCCCGGAACCAAAAAAAAACAAAAAAATGTATCGATCCAGCGGGCATGGTGGCGCACGCCTGTAATCCCAGCACTTGGGAGGCTGAGGCAGGAGGATCGCTGCAAGTTCGAGGCCAGCCTCCACTACAAAGTGAGCTCAGGGCCAGCCTGAACTGCATAGCGAGACCCTGTCTCAAAAACGCAAAAATAAATAAATAAAAATAAATAAAAGTATCGATCCCAGGGGGCTGGGGATTTAGCTCAGCAGCACAGCGCCTGCCTGGCAAGCACAAGGTCGTGAGTTCGATTCCCGGTACCAGAAAAAAAAAAACAAAAAAAAACCAAACAAACAAAGTATCGATCCCAGGCTAACTTGAGCTTAGTCCCCACCTGTATGACCCTGAGCAAGTCATGTCCCTTCCCTGAGCCTTTTCTCCCCATCAATAAAATAAGGCCACACATCCCTCAGAGCGCCCTGCCAAGAAGCCCATTTGTGTTTCATTCACTTGGGTTTTTATTTGCAGGTTCCAAAGAGACCTTAAACCAGACCTGGTGGCACAAGCCTGCAATCCCAGCACTTGGGAGACTGAGGCAGGAGGGTCACCACAATTTCCAGGCCAGCCTGGGGCACATAGTGAGTTCAAAGCCAGCCTGAACTATACAGTGTGACCCTGTCTTAAAAACCAAAGCCAAAGACATCTCAAGCTTCCTGCGAGGGCAACGGGCCTTCCCGCCCTCCTGGGCCCTGGCCCTAGGGGAGCCACACTGCTCAACAGATGCTTTTCCTTGGTGGGCCTGCTTGCCCAGCATTGGGGCGGAGTAGCATGATGGTGAACCAATGACCCTGGGCTTTGAGAGCCAAGGGACCTGGCTTTAACTCTCACCTTGGAAGCCCCCTGGCTGTGTGATCTTCAGCGGGTCACTAGGCCAGTCTGAGCCTGTTTCGTCTTCTGTGAGTTGGGCCCAAAAATAGCAGCCTCCTAAGAGAGGTGCTGCAAAGTGTCAGGGAGACGACACACGTCAACGTAGGAGGCAGCGAAGCGGTGGGAAGCAGCACTTCTCAGTCGGACAGGGCCTGGGCATCACACAGCCACCTCTCTTCCGTGTCCCCTCACCCAGGGAATTTTCCAGAAGCTGAGAGTTCCCACCCCACGAGACTTCCCTTCCCTTCCCTTCCCTTCCATGTGTCTACTTGTCCCTGCTCCAGGGAGGAACATGGAGATCCAGACCGCGGTGGCCAGTGGCTCACTTCCTTATTTAGTGACTCAGTTTCCCTAACAGTTCAACGGTGCAGGATCAGAGACTTTCTTGGGGCCTGCACAGCTAGCCAGTCAATAGACATTAATTGAGGACAGGTCCCATGTCTGGACCTTGCCAGTTTAGTCAACCCACCAGAAGCAGGTGACATTGCTCTCAAGTCAGTAAATAGCTGGTGTGGTGGTGCACGCCTAATGTCCCAGCACTTGGGAGGCTGAGGCTCCCGGGAGTTCAAGGCCACCTTGGGCTGTGTATCAGAGATCCTGTCTCAAAAAACAAAACAAGCCAGGCATGCTAGCGCATGCCTGTAATCCCAGTACTCGGGAGTCTGAGGCAGGATGATCACTTTGAGTCTGAGGCCAACCTGGGCTACGAAGTGACTCAAGGCCAGCCTGAACCGCAGAGCAAGACCCTGTTTCAAAAAAGGCAAACAAAGCAAAGCAAAACAAAACAAGACAAAGAAAAAGGTGTCTGGGTGTAATCCCAGCGCTGTAATCCCAGCACTCGGGAGGCTGAGGCAAGAGGATCACAGCAAGTTCAAGGCCAGCTTTGGCTACATAGTGAGCTCAAGGCTAGCCTGAAGTACATAGCGAGAACTTGTCTCAAAAAAAGAAGAAAAAAGAAAGAAAGAAAGAAAAAAGCAAAACAGGTTAAAGCAAGTGGGAAACCGCTCGTTCCTCCTTCTTCCTGGCTTTTGCCAGCCTCAGCGCTGTGCGGCCCAGGCCTCAGAGCTGGGCAGTCTTCCAGAGGGCCCCTGGCAGCTCCTGCCTCCTTCCCACCAAGGCTGAGGGCCTGTGGCCCTGAGGGGGAGTGACTGGCAGATGTTAGGGCTCGGGCCAGGGATACTGGGGTGGAGGCGACAGCACCACTGGAAACTCGGCTAAGTCCTCTGCCACAGGAAGTGACTTAGGGAGGGTCTGTGGGAAGCAAGCAGCCCACTGGGGCCTGAAAGGCTGACAGTGCCAGAGGCGAGCCAGGGGCAGATCCACCCGTGCTGCTGTCCCTTCCCACATCCCACCTTGGCCCTAGGGTGTGGAGCTCTGACCCGGCTCAGATGGGGGGGCCCTGACATCTGCAAGTTTTGGGGATTTCTGCCAGATGAAGCTGCTTCCAACACCAGTGTGGCCACTGGTCATCTGTGTGACCCTGGCCAAGGGCATTAACTTCTGTGTCTCAGGCCTTTTGTGCAGTGGAGGTGACAGTAGCACCCACTTCCTTTGGCGGACAATTTTTTTTTTTTTTTTTTTTTTTGGTCTTTCTAAGACAGGGTCTCCCTCTGCAGTTCAGGCTGGCCTTGAGCTCACTTTGTAGCCCAGGTTGGTCTCGAACTCACAGTGATCCTCTTGCCTCAGCCTCCCGAGTGCTGGGATTACAGGAGTGCACCACCATGCCCGGCTTTTGTTTGTTTTTTGGGTTTGGCTGACAATTGACATAACTCACATAAAGCACTAAGTGTAGGGCTTGGGCCATTCATTTCTCTTGGCAAATTGTAACCACTGCGATTATTTTCTTCCTCCCTATTCCTGATTCAACAGCTTCCTGCTTTTAACCAGTAATATACCCATGAAGCCTGCTCTAGTTCATTCCCTGACCTGGCTCCACACTGCCCCCAGGAGGGGGATCCCTGTTCCTAACCCAGACCCTCCACACCCTCCCCAGCAGGGCCTTCTCCCAGAACAGGGCCTCTGGGGACACTAGGGTCATTCAAACCATCCCAGGAGGGGGCTCCAGGGCGGAGTGAGAGCCAGGAGCAATCCGAGGGCTTCCAGCAGGTGGAGCAGGAGCTGGGGGTGGGTTGGGATCAGGGAGCACAGCAGGAGGGTAGCGGGGGGTTGGGAGGACCACTTAGGAGCCATCCACAGCGGGCTGGAGAGGAGGGGACAGGTTGAGGGTGCAGAGGAAGCAGAAAAGACAGTTTCGTTGGGCTGCTAACTGGGCAGAGCTGGAGGACTAGGCAGGAGGCTTTCGGAGCCAGAAAGATGCTGGGGAAGGAATGGGTGGGGGTGTGGTCATGGGACGAGGGGGGCTTGGTGTCTGCAATAAGGACTTCAAGCCCCACTGCCATCCTCCCGGCCCGACTATAAACAGCGCGAGCTAACTGATTCTTCACGCTGAAGATCCAGCTTTGTTATTGTGTGACCTTGGGCAAATGACCTTCCCTTTCTGAACCTCAATGTCCTCCTCTGTAAAATGGGTGAGTGGTCCTGAGCATGGGGCCTTAGTTCAGGATTCAGTAGGACCCCCTAGCAATTCCTGAACACTCCGGGGGCTGAATAAATGTTAGCTCTTTTTGCTATGATTTGGCTCCGGCCGGACTAGCTCTGGCGCAGTGTGGTGGAGGCAGAGATCTTCTGGGTCTCATCCCTGCCTCCCGGAAAACCGGTAGTGGGGTGGGTTGGAAGGGGGTCCAGGGCTATAAGGCCTGGCGTTGCCTGCTCACCGCCGCCAGTATCGTCGCGCCCCCTGGCGGCCGTCGGTTACCATGTCAACGGCGAGTGGCGGGGGCTTGGCGGAGGCGGCGGCGGGGGCCGATCTCTCCTCCCAGGGCCGGAGGCCGCTTCCTCGGCGCCTCTCGACTTCGCCTCTTGGGGTGCACTCCCAGCCGGGGAGCAAGGGCTCTCCCCGCGGCAGCCGGTGCTGGGGGGTAAACTGAGGCAAGCAGCAGGGCGCCCCGTAGCCAGGTGTCAAGCGCGGGGCCCCACCTCCGGGGGCGGAGGAGGGGCCGTGGGCGGTG